ACACACATATATATATATATATATATATATATATGATATAGAAGAGTTAAGAAGAGAACAAGTTGAAAAAAAGTAAATGTTCCTGACTATATAAATGTTCTCCGTTTGCGTTTTTTTTTGTTTTTTATTGACATTGTGTGCTAGGTTTTAAGTGGATAGAAAAGGTTACGGCACGGCCGGCAGCAAGTCACTTCAATGGAGTCCAAGAAGAATGCCCACCGTTTAAACCGCATCTTCCGTAAGCCGAGGGCGACGGTGGCACCGCGCAGTTGGCATGAGGAAGGCGATGGCGCGGGTCCGTACAACGGCGTATCGCTGTCGCTGCTTAATGAGCTGGCCAGCGAGCTAACCGACGTCGAGCGAAGCCGCGCGGCGGCCGCGCAGGACCCGCCGCCCGTTGTCCAAGAGGAGCTCGCCAAACGCGCCGCTCGCTTCGGTCTCCCCGTCGCTGCTGACAACGTTGGGGATGCAGGCGTGGTGGTGGACGACGCGGCGCTGCAGAAACGCATGGAGCGCTTCGGCACGGTTGAGGCGCAGCCGCAAGAGTTGAATGAAGCGATGCAGAAGCGCATGGCACGCTTCGGCGCCGCACCCGCACCGACGGAGCTGAACCTCTCCGCGGCCGACCGCGAGTTAATGGAGCGCCGCCAGAACCGCTTTGCCACCTGAGGAGTCGAGCGAGTAGGCGTGGAAATGCGCGTCTGGAGAGTAGAGGGTGGAACTGGAAAATGAGGTGTGAGTGGGAGGGGATATAAAAGAATGAGGAAATGCAGATGCATTTAACGTTTTCTCTCTCTCTCTCTTTTTCGCTCGTCTTATGATTCCTCTCCACTGTGAGGATATATTGGTAACAGGGCGCGCGACGCTGTGAGGACTGAAAATGAAGCTGTCGCATGCCTTTTTTGTGTGCGTGTGTCTGTGCGGGATGGCTGCGCTGCGGGGGGGGGGGCCTCTTGCTCTCCTATGTGTCGTGGTGTTTCCAATGTATATGCATATCTGTTTATTCTCTTGCTGTTGTTGTTGTTGTTTCACGCCTTCCCTCGCAATGGTAAATATACACCGTTGTTAGTTTAGTGCGTCTGTGCTTTGGGGGATGGCCGCCCGGGTGCCAAGCAGCAGCAGCAGCAGCGGTAGGCGGGAGCCGCAGGGCTCTGAGCCTGTCCCGGTGCAGCTGACCAGTTTAGTGCCCGTGCGGGTTGTCAGTGTGCACGGCGACTTTTTCGACACGGAGCTGCACCAGGATGCCCCCCTGCGGATCCTGCAGAGTGCGGTGGAAGACTGCTTCAAGGTGCGCCCAGAGCTGCAGCTGCTCACGCACAATCGACAGCCGATCAACCCGAGCGTCTCGCTGAAGCGGAATGGGTGCTTGTTGTTGAAAGGCGACCCGTACGTGAAGATTGTCCTTGATATTAAGAAGGGCACAAAGCTTAATCTTGTCTGCCAGATGCCGCACTACGAGCCTATCCCTCTCGCTTGTGAGGGGGCTGACACGGTGTGGGAGGTGAAGAAGAAATTCTGCGCCACCATCGCCAAGCCTGAGCTGACGCCGCAGCGTATTCGCCTGCTTTGGAGGTATTGGGAGCTCAACGACAAGGCGACGCTCGACTACTACCACCTCCACACTAACGCAAAACTCTCAGTCATGAAGAAGCGCGGTTTCACAGCAAGGCCGCAACAACAGCAAGCACAGCAGCCGACGTGTTCACCTGCGGGCGTTTCAGGCGGTGGTGTATCTGGTGCTACCTCGAACGAGCCACCGCACCGCCCCAATGCCATTACTCCCGCTGCTGCTGTGAAGAATAAGCCTGCCGCTACAGGCCCTGTAACGTGTGGTTCTACGATGTGGCCATCGTCGTCGAAGCAGCTTGGACACGCTGTGATTCCAATCGACCCTGGGACGGACCGAAGCGCCATGAGGCCTATTACTGCGGACAGCCGCGGCCAACCGCAGAGTTTCTCAGTGCAAGATGCAGAGCTGGCAAAAATTTCACAGGCAGCGGGTTTGGAGGAGCTCAATCGCCTGAAGCAAGACGTCGCTTCACTTGAGCGTCGTATCGGGGCATGCAGCACCGATCGCGTCGGCTGTGAGCTTCTTGAAGAGTCATACCGCGCGACCTTAAGGCGGGTTGAGGAATTAGAGGCAACTGTCGGTCGGTTTCAGCACCTGCTGAAGCGGGCGCTGACGCTTATGTGAGTTTGTTCCCCTTGTACGTGTGTGTTTCTCGGTGAGGGGTCCACCCTGCTCTTCTATGCTGATGTTGGCAACAGTGTTGTCCCACATTGGGTGGGGTAACGCTTGTTAAGAGCGGTTTTGCCATTCTAGGCCCTCACCCCTATTCGCTAAACGGAGGGGGTGGTCGTACGATGTGGGACTGTCCGTGTGGATTGGCGCACGGCAAAGGAAGCCAAGGAGTTGATGCATGATTGGGCGAAGGCAAATGTGAATGGGGTTTGGCTGGATGTACGCGTCTGCATGTGCGCTTGTGGGGGTGACTTGGATGATGGGGGTCTGGCATGCGGGCATTGCCGTTGGCACCTTCGCGTGCCCTTGCATAGGACGAACTGGATGCAGTGTGAACAATTGCTTGCGGGGTGTGGGGTTGGCTCGCTTTCACCCGTTTGCCCGCCAGCCCCCCAGTCATCGACTGCATTGTGGCGGTCGCAGAAAAACACGCCTGGCGTGTTTTTGTGCTTCTTATTTTTCCTGACCCTTTGTTCTGTCGCATTGCGCCGCTGCAATGGCATGGCGTTGAAATCAAAACAGGGGCGGCCTTTTCCTTTGCCGCAGCGAAAAAAGGTGGCGGGGCTGGTTGCGGCGGTCAGCGCGGCAAGGAGAACAGCAAAAAGAAAAGACTTGCAGTTGCGCGTGTGGGGGAAGGCTGTCTCTGATGCGGTGCCGCTTCCCAACGCGGCTGCGTGGGGAAAGGGTGTGCGCGGAGGGCGTTGTTCTCGTGCCGCTGCTGCTGCTGCTGCTGCCCCCCCCCCCCCCCCCCNGGGGGGGGGGGGGGGGGGGGTAACACCTTTGGGCGCATGGCGGGTTTTCGCTGCAAGAAGTCGTTCTCATGATCTGCTGCTTGCCTTCTTTTCTTGACTGCCCAGCGGGCATCTTGGGACGCAGGTGTGGGGGCAGGTGGGTGAAAGGCTTCTGGCTGCAGCCGCCTCGCGTGATTTGGCGGTGGAAAAAACATGCGCATGCGCATAGAGTGGGGATGGGAAAAGGGGAAACGGGGGCGGGAGGAAAAGGAATGAAACTAGGCCGGACGAACGGCCACAATATGGGCAATTTGAGACCCGGTCTAATGCCACGTGCGTTCCACTGCGATTATCTGATTGCTCACGTGATCCGCCATTTTTTATGTCCTGCCGAAACTCAAAAGAAAAACAAGAGAAAAAAAGACAGATATCGCAAAGGCGCATGCGAGGCTTTTGTGGGATGCCAAAGTCCCGGC